GCCACAATGGCAAGAAAGTGCAGCATGGGAGGCTGGGAGGAGACACAGGCAGGACAGGTGGCCTGAAATGACCAAAGGAATATTCCATCCTAGATGATGCCATGCTCATATCTAACACGGGGGAAGAAGGAGGAAGGTGGGACATTTAGAATTATGGCATTTGTCCTCCCAAGTAACCATTGTGTGGGATGGGATGCTGCTCTCCCAGAGGTAGCTGAACCCCTGCCTGCCATTGGGAAAGAGTGAATTAATTCCTTGGTTTGTTTTGCTTGTGTGTGCAGCTTTTGCTTTACCTACTAAAGGGTCTTTTTCTCAATCCATGAGTTCTCTGTCTTTTACCCTTCTGATTTTCTTCCCCATCCTGCTGGTGGAGGAGTGAGCAAGCGGCTGCATGGTACTTTGTTGCTGGCTGGGGTTAAACCATGACATGTTCTCCACATGAAAAACTGTTTCACACATTCTACACTGATGACTAATGATAATTTTGTAGTTTAGAATAATTCTCTGGATTTAAATTAAGGAAAGTATCACAGTTTGCAAACTCAGGACCTAAAATATAACTGCATCCAGTGCTACTTGTCAGAATGATTATGTAGAATTTCCTTGGCTTCCATTCATAAAAACCTATTTTAGATGACTAATGAAAACACACTGATTTTCCTGTGTGCTAAGCACTTCCAAATCTGTCATTTTCTCACCTTCTTTTTCAGTGTAGTTTCTGCATTAATCCTAAAAACTATCTACTTGTATTCTCTGCATGCCTGTACTGAAGTTCAGATCATTAACTTGGAAACTGCTGTTGAAATATGCTGTCTTCTGCCAGGCCTCAGACCTCCTTTATCTGTCTCCAGGAAGTGAAGTTCATTATGTTTCCCCTGGACCATGCAAAGCAGAATAATAATCTTGTTTTATAAAGTATGTTTTGTGTCATGTTAACATGACTTAACTTCTGGGATGGTTGAAAACATACAAAGAATGTACAAACAAAAGAGTTCCAGTTCCATTCAAATCTCTGAATGCACATAACCATGGCTATTGTAAAGAAATCAGAATTAATGAGTCACTGATCATTACAGCAGAAGGATCTCGCTGAAGATGATCCTTACTGCATTTTTATCACAATTTGTTGTTAAAGGAAATGGTCTGCTCAAGACCAGAGCATTTAAAGCACTTGAGTCAGCAGCTGATATCCCAGCACATGAGAGAGTTTGTCTCACTTGCTGAGTGGGTTTGTTTCTCTGATTGTGCCCTATGGCTCAAATATGCATGGTTTTCCTGTGTCTGAGGCAGTTGGGGAATTTGGGCAATTTGTAGCATTAGGTTAATTTCTGCATTTTACTAGGTAGGTTGTTGTAGTATAAGGCCAGAAGTAAACCAAAGAGTTATCATTAATTTAGGTACAACAGGAAGCAGGGTTGGTGACGGGGTCTCAGTTATGGCTCTGGACTCAAAGCCCTGCTGGCTGCAGCTCCAGGTTCATCAATGCCAAAGCTGTTTTCTCTCCCAGTCATTATCATGGAGCTAGGTCTGGAAACAACAAATTACACAGGGATAAGCTGACAGTGTGATTAGAATTCTTAGGGTTAGAGATCTGGAGTAAAAGTGTTGTTGACCTTAGTTAATAGATGACCCTTGTTTGGCCCGTGACAATGGGGTCACCTGCTTGGTTGCTGATTGCTTTCAGTTCTTGTGTCCCAAGACTCAAAGGTATCAACTGAGTGTAGTGCTAGTTTTGTGGGCTCTGTACATCTCACTATATCGTTTGTTGTTTAAGTGGCTGGGACAAAATAAGGCACAAAGCAGTGGGAATAGTGTTTTCATCTTCTCCAAGGCCAGAACTCAGTAAGATGGGACCATACAGGGATTAGTATTATGGTCAATGTTCAGGATTGTATTTGGAGGTCCTGAAGATTTGTTACTGGTTTTTGGAGGCTCCCTCTTTATACTGAGAAATGTGACTGCCAATCCATCCCCACGGGAGCCTGGTGTGGAGGAGCCCGTTTCATGCAGCTGGGCTCCTGCCTTTGAGTGCACGTCAAGCCCACTGCGCATGTTCCAGCTTCAAGATCTGCAGTGGACCAGAACTCCATGCAGCATTTGAAGATAAAAATGACCAAGAAAATGGTACTGTGACATTTTCCAATCTTCGTGCTTTCCCTAGTTATCCCTAAAATGGCATTCAGCTGTTGAGCACTGACCTGCAAGATCCCTCCCTTGGCAGAAGTGCCTCTCATAAATGGTAAATGTTAGTCTATAATTAGGGAGTCTGTAATCCATGGATTAGTGGCTCCGTGCTCTAAAGTCTCCATCTGTTCCACACATTGAAATCATTATATCTCTAGTCTCAGTCCTGTTTCAGGCTTCTAAAATGGTTTTCACGGGATTTTCTTTGTTGTGCAAAGCAGCTTGTTCATGGCTGGCACTTGCTGTTCAGGCACTGGAGCAGATGTAGCACAATGGCCTCTTGTCAGTTTAGCACAAGCTATGGGATGAATCTCTACCCAAGCAGGAGCAGGGCTTTGAAATGTATATTTTGGTCATGTGCACACTTAGCCCCCCTCAACACAAAGCAGAGGGCACATTGCCAGTTTTTAGGGCTTTTACTATGTTTAGATGATATCCCAAACAATGGAAAACTGTTGCCGTCCAAAGGGGCTACAGAGACAAGCCAGAGACCTTCCAATGCATAGTCAGACTTCAGTCTAGCCATGAGCACTCACCGTGCCTGCTCTGGCAAAAGCACAGCCTGGAACAGGGCTTAGTCCCTTGCTGGCCAAAGTATTTTATGATCAAATACCAGAGAAAATAGCGATATCTCAAGGATGGCTGCAACCATGGGCCTCATATGATCACCCTACAGCCTGCCTGGGGCAGGCTGATGTGCTGTCATGTACCAGGGACAGACTCACACCAGGCCTGCCCATGGCTTGTCCCAGGACAGTCTGCAACTCCCTTGCATTGTCCCATCATTTTATTGTCTTGTAGCTGAAGATACCTTGCAGCCATCCCAGAGAAACACCCAGAGCATTTTGGACCGAAAATCTGGTGCAGAGTTCTTGTTATTGTCAAAAAAAAGGATCCCTAGGATGGCCATGCTTCCGTGTGTATACAGGAGATGGCAAAATCAGACATAACAGATGTTATAACACCTAGGCTTACCATTCTGAGCTGTATCTGTACAGGATGCAGGTTTTCTTGCATTGTGTCTTCATTCCATCAGCAAAGTACTCCTGGTGTACTCCAGCAGGTGTTCAGTCTGGGAGCTCATGCAGGAGCTTTTCTACACCCCTGTTGATCCAACTCCCATTACCAGCAGTTTCCCTGAAATACATTTCTGATTTTATTAGAGATTTTTATAAAAGTGAATGCCTACTAGTCTGGGCACTGAGCAACTACTGTGTTGCGCATCATTTGGTGTAAGGGATGTTTGTCTAGGCAAATGAGCTGTGTAGCCTTATCCAGAGAGGATCCTCACAGTCCTTCTGAGCTGAGCTTGTTCCACAGGCCCTGTAGCACACATCTATTTTATATTGTGTATCTTTAATTCTAAATTAGTGTATTGTAATATTAAATGCTCCTTCCATTTTATTTTCCAGTCAAAAGAAACAAGACTGCTTGGCTCAAGTTCTTTGCTTCATTCATTATTTTAAAGATCATTGTGCAAGGGAAATGAACTCTCTAATATTTGAACTCTCTAATAGTAGATAACTAAATCTAGATCCAAATTTCTGTTTCAGACTCAATGTGTTTCAGTCTTCTAAGAGCACTTTAAAGATATGAACTGCAGTTCTTGGGGACTGGATCTTGCAAAAGATAATGTTTGGATTATTTTAGTAAAGAATACTTTAATGTACTGGGCTATTCTGTAACAATCTGATATTCTTCAGCTTAGATTTCTTGAGTGCAAAAAGGATGAGAGAGGTACAAATAGCTGGCTACAAGTTTGCACTTCCAAATGTTCTTCCCATTTGCTTTCTAAGATTTTCTTGACAATTTTCTCCCCAAAGGGCTGTTTGGCAAATCCAGAATAGGAGCCTGTCAAGGGCCGAAGGTGCGGCGCTGACCCTGCAAATAGATGCGGGAGCCAGCTGCGCCCCTACAGCCGGTCACCGCCGTTACGGCTCTGGGATCCCGGTCACTTCCAAGGGTTCCGCTCACGTCCCTGCGCTTCTACCGAGCCTTCCCCAAGCGCTCGCTCCGTCCCGGGCCGGTGTCCCCGCGCTGCCCCCTGGCGGCAACGCGCGGAGCGCCACCCGGCCCCGGCCCCTCCCCTGGCCCCGCCTCAGCCCCGCCCCACCTCAGCCCTGGCCCCGCCCCCGCCCGGCCCCTCCCCTGGCCCCGCCTCAGCCCCGCCCCACCTCAGCCCTGGCCCCGCCCGGCCCCTCCCCTGGCCCCGCCTCAGCCCCGCCCCACCTCAGCCCCGGCCCCGCCCCCGCCCGGCCCCTCCCCTGGCCCCGCCTCAGCCCCGCCCCAGCCTCAGCCCTGGCCCCGCCTCAGCCCCGCCCCACCACAGCCCTGGCCCCGCCTTAGCCCCTCCCCTGGCCCCGCCTCAGCCCCGCCTCGGCCTGGGCCCAGCGGAAGGCAGCGAGCGGCGGCTGTTTTGTATTTCAATCTGCGGCTGTTTTGTATTTCAATCTGCGGCTGTTTTGTATTTCAGTCTGCGGCAAGATCCTTCGAGAGCTTCCAGGCCGTGCGCCGCGGACTCCAGAAAGGCAGCAGCTTGCTGTTACGTTTTGGTTTCTGCACAGGCCCGGCAAACAGCAGTAAATTCACGCTTGGCCCCCGCAGGGACCGCTACCTGCCGTCCCTTTTCCCAGTGATCGCGCCCAGATCTCGCTCACTCTTTAATCGGTGTACTCCCCACCCCACGTACCCCCAGCCCTTGCTGAGGCCCAGCCCCGCGCCCCAGCATGTGCCTCCGTAACTCGGCTTGAACGTGATTCCTCTGAACCAGCTCCAGATATGTTGAATATATCCGTGAACGTAAACTGTTGGTTGCTTTTTTTTTTTTTAAAAATGCTGCTGTTTTATTTTTTATACAAACTAAAACACCAGAGGTCATTGAATCCTATATTAAATACATAAATTAAAAAATAACCATTCATAAAACTTTACATACAATAAGGATTCTCTCCTACACGTTAATACATATAGTACAGGTACATGTCCAATGTTTATCAAAGGGTCATTCTGCAAGTAATTTACAATTTTGTTCTGGAATAGACACCAAAAAAATCTGGAACAAAAAGTATATATAAAACCACAGAGGTGCTGATGTGAGAGAGGGCAGGGGAAGAAAAAACCCTTTGGATCACCAGCAGCTGAGTGTTCTCTGAGCCCTGCTCATGTCAGGAGAGCCTGGCCTGGACAGTCCTCATGGGATGCCATAGAACTGAAAGCTTCGGGTTTCAGCGGATGTTTCCCACTGACATAATGGTAGGTGGTTGGACGATTAACAACACCTAAAAAAAAAAATCTCCATTGTCCTCCAGGCACATCAGTAAGAAAGGATGGACCTGTGAGCCATGCTGGTAACACTGCAAGAAGTACCATTTCCTTACTGCAACCCCAATTGCCTAAACTCATCTCATGTAACCAGGCCCTCATCTGAAGTGTTTAAATTCAAAAAATAGTCTTCGAAGTCTCATAACTTGGTCACTGGGGGGAAAAAAAAGCAAGTCAATTGTGGTCAAGCTGATTTGTACTACCTTCTGTGGCTCACCTTGTGCTTTGGCAGGATGGATAGCCTGGAGTGCTGCCACTCCTGAACAGCCTTGACGGGATGCACGGGAGGGATCCAGGGCTGTATTTGCTGTCCTCAAAGGCTGCAGTACATTGATTTTATTTTTGTTGTTGGCTTTGGGGAGGGGAGGTTGGCTACAGTCACTAATCTGAGGGAGGATTCTCAATCCTTTGCTTCAATGAACATCAGGAACAGCAGAAAGCCCAGGATTAACAGTCAAAGGAGAGTGACGGGTCCAGAAAAAAAGAATCAAAAAATTAGCTGCCCATGAGATGTGAAAGTAAACCTGGAGGAATAATCTGGATTCAGTTCCCCATGCCTAGATTAAAGTATACTTTTGTAAGCTACAGCAATATTTCTATATACAATCAGGAATTGGTAAGTATATGCATATATATGTATATATATGTACATATACATATAGATACATGTGTATATATATATATATATACACACAGACATGAAACTCATTTTATCTAGCTGATAGCAGAAAGTTCCTTTAACTCACATCAGCATGTGTGTTTTAGGCATGGCATGTGTTATGCTGCAAGGAGAGTAAAGCAGCGGTGGTTCAGCTCCCTGGAGGCAAGAACAATCTTTGAAAAGTTTGCAGATCCAGGTCTGCTGCAGTCAGACTACCAGCACCCATCCCACCCTGAACCCTTGGCAATGCAATACCTGCATGCATATGTATACACACAGGAGCAAGGCAGGGCAAATTAGACAAAAAAGAGAAATTAAATAAGATAACATGACTTAGGGAGTCTAAATAATGAAGCCTGCCACAAGACCAGTTAGGTATGTTGTAAAAGTGTGTATTTCTAACTGTGCCATAAACCTTCTGCATGATTGCCTGAAATAAATGTTTCTAGGGTTTTTTTTTTAAACCAAACCAGCGTGGAAGTTATTGCACCATCACTGAAACCAAGAGCTGCTAATTCTTCTGCAAGAACTCAGTGCTTTAACTGCCAGCCCTAACACTGAGGAAAGCCACCTGAAGGTGGCAAATTACCTGATGCTGCAACAGAGGAGAAAAGAGTGAGGTGGGAAGGAACAACCAGAGAGAAAGCTCCCTCTAGCTAACAAGCTGCTGTTAAGCTGCTCAGTAATCTCCAGCTGTCACAGGAGTGGGATCACTCTTCAGGGCCCAACTCCAGAGCTCCAGGACTGAACTGCTAGCTCATGGAAAGCACAACCTTATTCACAGAGTCTTCTGCTAGGGAAAGGAATTTGAAAAAAAACACGCAATATGCCTGCAGTCATGTAACATTTCTACCTACAAGCATATTTCTTTAAAAATGAGCCAGCAAACATACAGCTTGGTGCCAGAACTCAGTAAACCCCTTGGCTGAGCCAGTGTTTCAAGAAGATGTGGTCATTCTATAATTTAAATTAACTTTAAGGAGCAGGAAAAAAAAATCACTCGCTAATAACTTCTAATCTTCCATGGAAGGTTTAACACTATCTCCTGGCACTCAAGGAATAAGGATGTTAGCAGTCTTTGTGGAGAAACTGCAATGCAGTTAGTCAAATGGACATTACTGATTAAAAGCTATTCTGGCCAAAAAAAAAAAAGCTATCTGTGAGGGGCAGGCATCATTGACACCAGAGAAACTCCCTCCCTCCTATGGCTAAGGAACTGCTTTTGATGTGCTGAGTTGCTCCAGCAAGTAACCTCACTGCTTTGTGCCTCAGCTGCTTTGTCTGTAAAAGTAAACAGGCAAGCAAAGGAGAAGATCTTTGAAAAACTCTTCGAAAGCTCTTCAAAAGCTTCTGATGTGCGTAAGATGTTGGTACATGTGATCCCTGCTTTGAAGGTGTAAGTAATGCACAAGCTGTATTCTGGCCCTTAATTTTCTAGTTTTTAGTACAGAAATCCATTTCTTCCAGTTAAAATTAAGGCTCCATTGCAGATAGAGCCTGGCCACAGGAATCCAAAGTCTGAACAGGCAGGACTCCGTTCCCCAGAAGATGAAACCAGAGGCACTGAGAAGTGTACTGTCAGCCCACCAGCGAGAAAGGGAGGGTGGGTGCAGCTGGCTGCACTCCTTCCCTCAGCACAGGACTCACAGTGATTGCTGCAGGCACTGTGCTCCTCAGGGAGTGCTCTTCTGAAAGACTGCTGGGGTGCATGGACCTACATTTCTGACAAAGTGATGGGTGCATGGACCTATGACCTCAGGGAGGCACCACGGCTGGGTTCCAGGCTTCATGATTACAGAGGTAAGTAATGCTTTCAAATGAAAACTACTTTTAGTTACTCTTAACTGTGGAAAAATCTAAACAGACTAGCAATATTTCTTATCTGTAATAAGGTTGTGTTCACAATGTTTTTCCCCATTTTCGGTCTATGTATCATTGGTCAGGAAGTCAACAAAGTCAGTTGACAAGCTGAACCAAAACATTTTTTCCAAGCTGGGACAAAACAGTTGGAAGCTGATGCTTTGTGAATCATGTCACATGGATAAGGGGATTAGCTTTCCTCCCTGCCCTGTCCTCCAACATCTCTCTTCTTTCTCAGAAGCTATTCTGTAGGTCCAATTCAGTGGTTACTCTATAGTGAAACCAAGTATAGTCTTGGTTTTATTATCTCAATGGCAGTCTTTAAAGAGTATGAAAAGTATCTGATAATAGACAGGCTGTTCTTCATGGAGGGATGGTGAAGAGAGATAAGGCTTCAGCTCCACTGGAAACCCTCCTTATGCCATCCACCCTCTTCTTCCATGCCTGGGCCAAGGCAGGTGGTGCTGTGTAACAATCTCAAGCACAAAACATGGTGATCTGTCCTGCCCACCCTGCAGTAACACAGACTGGGGCTTTTTTCCTTTCTTCCTTCCACATTGCAGCTGTCATTTGTTCCTGAGGTTAAAACCAAAGAGGGAGAGCAGGAGTCCCTGCAGCGAGAAAGCCACATACTTCAAATTGAACACTTTGTTGTCAGCATCTCTTGAGTTTCTCCTACTCTCATCTGTTCATTTTTGATCCATTTGTCAGATGACAGGGAAACATTTAAATGATTGCCCTGCACAGCAGGAATAGATTTTTCAATTGTAACTTTGGTTCCATGCCCAAGACACACTGACTTGATCAGCTGAAAGTGGTCCCTTCCCTTTAAGTTCTTCCTAGGTGATGTAGGTTATCAGTTTATTTTTCTTCCCCTTTTGTAATTTCAACATACAGGATTTCATTAGATGCAGCATATATCATAGCTTTAGACAGGAATTGTCAGGTAACAAATTTTGAGTGATGGCTTTAAAATACAAGGTGGTTGCAGTCTTGGCTACAGGTTGTTCATTTTTATACATTTGAAAACAGGTGTAAACAATATTCTCTTCATCGAGGGGTGGAAGCATTTGCCTTTATAAGGACTTATCTGTGTGGTCGGGCACTCTAAAAGTTAAAAAAAAAAAAAGAAGAACGTCTGTATCAGATAAGGTATACGTTTCTAAGTTCCTCTACCTACCTATCCCAGATTTGCCAAGATAAAATCAATATATCAAAATCAGAAAGCTGAAAAGGCTAGTTCTTGTAGCTATCAGTATGAAACTGGTTTTGTCTGCATGAAAAGCACTTATGAGAATTCTGTGTATTTTGATAAGCTTGTCCATTGAAACCCCACGAAGTTCAACCCTGTGGTGCATAAAAGTCCCCATGGGCATGTTCACATGAGTAGTATGCATAAGTTTCAATGACTCTTGAACCAAAGCTGCCTACAATTCTCCCATAACAAGAGCCATGGCAGCAGGCAATATCCTTGGGGTGTCAAAGTAAGCCGGAATTTTGGCTAATGCAGCACTGAGGCAAACAGAAACTGCTGATGTTCTGAGAAAGCCTACCTTACCTATAGAAAATAACTTTGGTTCTCAGGTTTGAGACCAGGGGAAAAAGGGCATATTTTGTCTTTGTTATCTCAGCATTTAAGCCTACATAGTAAATTTCACTGGGTGCAAAATCCACACGGACCACACTTCCTTATGTGGTCACAAATAAGTGCATACATATGTTCACAAGCACAGAGAAAATGCAGGTAGGAAAATCCCATATAAACAGGAATGAGAGTGCTTCTGGTCTGGATACTGTATCTGCTGCATGTGGCTTCCTTCATTTGCACATTCTTGTCCTTTGTTATTGCAGTACAGCAGTGAGTCAAGTGTTCACTCTGGGTGAGAAGGAAACCAGAAGGTATCATCTGTGACCACATTGTGGATTTCTCTCTCCTGGTTAAAAGACTGGCAAAGGATAAACTGCACCAAGGCATGAACAAAACCAAAGACTTTTCACCATCAAGTGGCTCCCCAGGATGAGCTGGGCTTTTTGTTTGTTTTGTCAGGGATCTGTATGAAGTCCCTTATGATAAGGCTACGACAGTTCACTTCCATCCAGTAGAAGTAAAGCAGTTTTGTAGTATATATATATAGTATATTATACATATGACAAAATATACAGCTAAATAGTTGTAAGAAGAAATGCTGATGGCACACTCCCCATGCCGTGCTCACCTTTGCTGAATTAAATCACCTGGGTAGGCGGTGTTTATTAACTTGAATGGGCAACACAAATCAATGTTATTCTCTCCAATTCCATGTATTCCAGCCTTGGAGAATATGACTTTGCTAAAATCCCTCTCCTTCTTGCCAACACCATTCCCAAATTGCCTGTGTCTGGAGATTTCCCCTCAGGTACTGAGGGGAGAGGATCCCATAGAGGAAAATGCAGGGGTGAAGGCAGGGGATGAGGAGCTTACCATTACCTTGTTTTTGAGGAACTGCTACAAGACTTGATGCTTTGCACCTGTGGAGTGACTGGCCTTGGTAAAACACTCTACAGGTATCATGCGTGCTGTGATGCTGGGCCTGCTGCAGCTGTCTTTACAGTTCAAGGGAGTTCACAGCAGTGCAGATCCTCTGGAAAAGCATTGAGTTTATATATCCCCCACACACACCTCTCCCGTAAGATTTTTCCACCTTCACAGTCAATGTGGATTCTCTAAGTCACTGTGTCTCCATTACTGTCACAGCTCTTTTCCTCTGTCACTCAGCTCACTGTAATCTGTCTTGTTGATCCCTACCTGATGTTCATCAAGCCAAATATGTAAAAGAAGGATGGGAAAGGCAAAAGAACCCTTCACCTCCTGAGTGGTCCTAGGAGTGCCACAACTGCCTAGCAGGCTTTTTGGGGCTGTAACCCACATTTCAGCTCCTGCTGATGCTTCTCATCTTCTCTATGGGGAACTGGACCCCTGTGTGCTCCAGGGACCAGCCATTATGGAGCAACAGTGACTTCAATGAGTGAAACTCATCTTGGCATTGTAGTTAGAGCAGCATTCCTGGGTTCAACAAAGTGATCTCGAAGGGATTTACACCTGCTAAACCTTAGATGTTATGTAAAACAAGAGGAAAACCCATTGAAGGAGATTGGGCCAGAATGGGGGGTGGAGGGTAGAGAGAGAAAGGGCGTGAGGAGGGAAGTGAATTCTTGACACAATTCCTAATAGATCCATGTAAATTCCCCTGCAATGACATCGGTCAATTGTGCAGCTGGGACAGTCGTGTATGCCTTAAGGACAGCACATAAATGTTTATATTGTTTTGATTTTTAGTCCTGTTCAATGAACATGACAGCAAGATGTGCATCAGCTCCGTGAAGAGCAAGAGCTGAACAGGACCCAGCAGCCCATGGAGGCAGGATGACTCCAAGTGAAAAATAGCAAACCTCCAAGAACTTAGGAAAAATATGGAGTTCTGACCTCAAGCATCTCATTAGCTTTTCTAACCAGCCAATACCTTCCCTCAAAAATTAGGCCAAAAGGGCCTAAGTGTTATTAGCAAATGGTATTAGCAGATTGGTATTGGTAATACTAGGACGTAAAAGCTCACCAATTCTGTAGCTGTACTAGAAGAGGCAAATACTCATTAGAGAACCAATGCCATACCCACACTGGTGGAAAATGTAGGTGCAAACTGTATATATAGAAAACTCTGAACCTCTTATTGCCCAAGTTTTTCTCATATGCTGCACAAGGACATTATTTCAGTTGTGACAGGAACGAAAAAAGGACAACAGTACAGGCAAATGGAAAAAAGTCATGCAGGCAGGTTCTCACAAATGTCACTACAAGTTCCTGTGATTTTTCAAGGTGCACCTTAAATCCAATATTTTTTTTAATCTGGAATCTCCCTCTAGGTTGACTGCTTGTTCTAGACTCATGATTCTGTGGTACAGCAAAAGACATAGTCATAGAAAGTTATTTGCTACTACTGTGTACTGTGAAAATCTTGGCTTCTTAAAATTATTCTGTCCACAATTTGGTCACTTCAGAATAGTTTCTAATTTTTTTCTCCATTATGAATAAGCAAGAAACTGTGAAGTCAAACTTCCACCAGTCAGAGATACCTAAAACATCTCACAGCTATACTATGCTGTACCATGGTTCTCAGAAATCCTGCAGTAGGAACACAATTAATGCAGTCATAAGTTATTGTGTTTCATAATCACTGGATCAAGGCAGTATGTTTGAAACTGCAGCAACTTGATAATGATACTGACTCTTGTTCACAAGAGCTGTGATCACTGATCTGTCTGCATTTCTCCTAATTCTTCTCTATGGGTTGTTGCCCGTTCAAGCCAGCCTCCAGGTATATTGCTGCCTCAGCCCATGGAAACATTCATTTTGAGGTCTGGCCAAACAAGGACACAGTGGATCCCAGTTGAAGTGACTAATTCTGAGAGTTGTCTCTGCATCAGCACAAAACTGCAAATGAAAGCTTGGATCTAGCTGAAATAAAACACGAAGTAGGGGCTTTTCCTTAAAGGGAAAAGGAAAACCCACCAAACATGACCCATGCCACTTAATTATAATCAATACCTTGAATTGTATCTGGAAACAAAAAATGAGCTGGTACAAATGGTGGAAGGGCAGAACATATTTCACACAACTGTATCTCAGCTTTTATCAAGTGGAGAGCAGAGGAATTATTCATTAACACAGCTGAAGCCAGAGCCAAGAGAGACTGATAAATTTAATGGTATGGGTCTGTCCTCAAATCAGAAAATTATGCTGTCATTACATGTTCTTGAGACTTTAACATTATGTTTTCTATGCTATGTTCTACTTTTGTTATCCTGGATGAAAAGAAAAATTGTCCTAGCCCAGCATCCTTGCTCTGGAAGTGGCTAGGCACAGATAAAAATGGGACCATTATAGTTCTCTGATTTATTTCCCCATCTTCACATTCCCTTTTGAATTCAGAACTTTCAGCTGCTAAGCATACGTGAAAGACTTCTTTACCACCTGTACCCTTAACTTTGAATTTTTGTTTCTTTAAGCTTGTTACATGGTAATTGATTCTATTAGACGGTGAACAACAGCAAGCTGTCTGTCCGTCCATCCATCCATTCTATGACAAATTTTTTAGACCTCTCCAATACCTCCTATTAGCAGTGTCACTTCCATTTCTCTATCTCTCCCTTCCTGTCTCTCAGCAGTTGATCGTTCTTCCTTGTCTTTCTTTGTATTTTTCCTGCTACGGGACACTTGTTTTAAAAAGTAGAGCTGCTGTTCTATTGTTTCAAAATCTTGATCTCCTTCCTCAGTGCTAGTTCAGAGTGTGTTTACGGTTGAGGTTATTTTAACTGTTTTCCATCTGCATCCCTTTGTAAACATCAACATTAAATTTCCCCTGCAATTCCCTTGGCTTTTTGATACTGTGAAATTCCTTGTTAGCTTTTATTTTTACAATTATGAATAGCACAATATCACCAGCAGCTTGGCAGTACAACAACCCCCTACTGTGAACTACTGCAAATTGACAACAACCTGCTGCATTTGCTGACTCCAAACATCCACAAGAACACACAAGGATGTGATCCTCCGGTCTGTGCAAGAAGTGGTAGCTTTGAGGAAATAAATAAAACAGTCTTACCTTTCCAAGAGGCACATTGACATCAAGGCCAAAGAATAAAGGCAAGAGAGAAGAACAAGAACAGAAATAGAAACTGCAAAGAAAAATAAGACTGTGTAAAAATTAAAGATAATGGCACTGTAAGCATCAGAATTATTTTTGCACTCTGTAGAACAACTCAGAGTATTTATTAATTCAGAAAACACTGTTACTCATTACTAATGAGGGTAACACTGTTACCCTCATTACTTCTGTAAGTACCACACCACCTCCCAGGCTTAGAAAACAGATTCAAATAATTTTGGTGATGGATTACAATTGGCACCATATTGAAAGCCTGAGGTGTAACTATCACATCATGATACCCCAGGGGTTGGACAAGTCATAAAGCTAGGTAACAAAAATAGCATGTGTGGTATTTTTAAACATGTTAAAAGACAGAGGCTGCAATCCATGCTAGAAATAGCCTGGATATATAAATACATAAATATAAACTTATATATATGTACACACGTATGTTTATAGTACCTACACACACCCATATCAAACACTCACCATTACAGGTTTAATAATGTAATGCAGTGTTTTAAGATTAAAGTCTGTATCTACTGACACAAACTGAAAATAAAGGACAGTGGACCACCACCAACAGGTGCAGCAGAACAAAAAGCTCATATAGTTCAAGAGAACTGGATGACTACTTTCAAAACAAAGTTAATCAGTGCGCTTCAAAGGATAACAGAACCAACCTTTTCCTCCAGATCCTTAATTTGTCTCTTTTGGATGTCAGTTTTATCTTCTAAATCTCGGATCCTCTGGAAATCAGAAAAGAAAGCATATACACTAAATTCTCAGTAAATCTATCCCACTTAAGTAGCTTAATGTTCCAAGGGCCAAAACCCTAGAAATCCACAAATGCATTTCTGTGGCAGGGACAATCTTGTGTCATACTGTGACTTGATCCACTCATCCTGCCAAACCACAGCTTTACCATGTGTGCAACTGCTCAAAATATGATCCTGCATATATGTAACTGGATCCTTAAATGCTAGAAATTAGTATAAATGATTGATAAGTAATATCTCCAGGGAAGGGAACTATACATCCTCCCTGGGTAATCTGATCAGTGGTTGGTTACTCACACAATGAAGAAATTCTTTTTGATGTTCAGGTGGAACCTCTCGTACAACAGTTTCTGCCCACAGCCTCCTGTTCTATTGCTTGGCTACCTCCTCCTTCCTTTGCCTCTCAGCCACTTCCAGCTGAGGCTGGCTCAGAGTCATTCTGAGAAGCCAAAACTGCTGTGGCAGTGTCCCTCAGGGCAGTGTCCCTCGGGGCAACTGGCATGTTTAAAATCAAGAAGCTTCTTATGTTGCAAAGGCCTGGCATCAAAAGGTGGACCCAGTCTCAAGTGCCCAACTCAGGATCAGGCAAAACTGTCAGAACTGAGCCTTCCTGTGAACCAATTCCCCCTAACCACTGGGGATGTGCTTCTTCTCTTACTCCCATAAATGTCTGAGTCAGATCTGTTTCATGGTGCAGCTTTCATGTTATTCAATGTGCTGTGACAATTTGCCATTTTGCTCTGGGACCTCACAGCTTGCAGAGCAGCAAACAACAGTCTTTTAAGGTAAAATGCAGTACCTTATCTCAGCAGTGAAAAGTACAAATCCCCACTTGGGAGGGACAAGTAGCATCTGGAAAAACAGACAGCTCTCCTGTGCCACAGGAGCTAGCAGCATTTACTCCGTTTCTCTTGTGCCCAGTCCAGTAACTAGAGATGACCATTTTTATTACAAAGCTAGAACTGTGCAGACAGAATTCTAGATGAAAAACTTAAGGCTAGAATTTTAAAACTCAAAATATGCCAGAATAATCTTGCACAAGCTAGTATCATGTGTGCTTGCATGCACAGAAAAAACAAAGTAAGAGACAATTCAAAAAGCTGGATGCCAGGCTCCATCATGGCCTGCAGCTTGCTTAGATTTGAGCTCAGATTGTGTTCTTACAAAGAAAGGCTGAGAAGATACCACGTGTGTGGTTTCCTCTTCTTACCTGATGAGCCTGCTGGAGCAGCTCCATCCTCTCCTGAAGAATCTGGCAATCATACTCTCTGCTCTTCCTCAGCATCTGACGTCTTAGCTTTTCTACTGCTGTCCTCAGCTCTTCCTGCTGTTTTTCAGTGAGTAGTTCCCCAAACTTTATCACTGTTTCTTGCTGCAAAGCATTGTACAAGGTGGCTTCAAGCTCCTGGATCCTCTGGTTGATGCAATACCAAAAGTCAATTAGAGATGAAACATGGTTTAAAGCACATTGGAAACTGGGGGATTGGTGGCAGATTCAGACCCCTGCATGAGAGGCAGTCCCTGTGTTCAAGTGTGCAAAAATGTGAAAAACTAAACTCAGAAAATGGTTTTATGTTCTGAAAAAAGGATAGGAACTTTTATTTTCAAAGTATTTTAATATTAACTTCCACTGAAATCCTTCACTTCTACTCTTTTTTAATGGAGTTAGAGTTGGACAGAATGTTCCTATCTGAAGTGTAAATTATTTCACCAATTCTAAAATTTCCACCTGTTGCCCGAAAAAACTCCAGCTAGACAAGCCAATATTAATGAGCAATATCTGCCTTAAACTGACACGAGTTTCAGACTTCAGGAGATGTGCCTTTTTATGACATGAAAAGGTGAACTACTGTGTTGAAGCTGTGCAGGTTGCATGCTAGTACTCAGAAGAAAGAGGAAAGAACAAATTTAAAAAAATCCAGTACTAACAAAAAAGCAAAAATCTCTCCTCCTGATTCAAGAAAAATCTGCGTGCTATTGCAGAGCTGGCCAGTATGTGCTGCAGAATTTCCTTTGTACATACCATGTACGCTTGGTCAAGAGCTTGCTTTCTGTAGTCTAATTCTTCCTCCAAATAACCTTTTATTTTGCAAAATTGCTCCTACAATGAAGGATCATTTGGACAGAAAAACAAATTAGTTACTCCAAATACTTTAGGAAGTTTTATCAAATCATTTACAGATATCTAATTCAGCAGGACAAGAAGACTGGTTTTCGACTGACAGTCAGCAGAGTTATTAATACCTGACTCAGCTAGAAAAGAAGGAAGGGCAAATAGCTGTAGATTGCTCTTGTAAGTGAACACGTCTGATGTACATGGAACTAAATCCATCCTCTCTGTTGGCTTCAGTGGTACTGCATGGCATTTCAGTAGTGAAACTTAGGGTGTTCTTTGTGATTTTTCCAAAGATACTTCCTCTGGCATCGGGAATTACTCTTTTTGTGCCTCCTCTTATTTTTGAAGAGGTGTAAAAGTGGACTGAACTAAAGGGGAACTAACTATACATTCACATTCCTTGGGAGCAGCTGCTGTGCTTTATCTTATCAGTCCACCTTAAGCTGAACAGACTTAAGTACAGACATATCACAGGAACAAAACAAGCCACTACTGCTGTCTCATTCTTGTAGTTATGTTTGTTCATCTTGTAGGCTGCTGCCATTAACTCGAATAAGAACGGGGTAAGGTATTAACTTTACTTAGTGTGTAATGAAAGCCAACAGTGTTATGATTCAGTTCAACAATTTCTCACATGCTGGTCCTGAATAAAATGCAATACAACAGCTGATGTTTAGGCTGTGAATCTTATGAGACAAACGATGCATGCATCTCTGAAAATTATTGAGAAACCTTTGAACCCTCGGTACTTGTTAATAAACAGTCATCCTCATAGAAAGGGAGGCATTTTTTAAACTTTTACTATTTCTGTTACTGTTATTCTGCATGTGAACTGGACCAGGAACAATTTTATGGATTCACCAATAATCAGACAAAAGGTGCATAGTTCATTTGTCAATACACTTTCCTAGTTATTTTTTGGCACATCAAGTAAGTGTGACACAATCAGTGTCCCTAAAACATGTAGTAGGAAAAGTTTTCTTACCATATCACTTTCCAGTTCCATCATCTTCTGATGCAGAGCAGCTTCAGCTCCCTCAATCTGCTGGATCCACTGGAGAGAAGACAATGAGACCTGTAACCTGCTGTGTTTTCTAGCACACAAGCAGTGCCAAATGAGCTATGTACAGCATCCTGTTAGACCGTTTTTAGCAGCCTATTGCTGCGGGCTTATCTTGAGGCTGTTTGTGGCAGAGGCCATGATGTCTGCATGTAGCACTAGGCAGGGAAGCAAGCAGAAAGATCACCACTGCTGGGTCACCAGAAGATGGAAAAGCACACACCCTTTGATGGACAAGGAACCCATTCCATCCCATGCATCAAGGCCAACAATGGGTCTATAGCATCTCAAAAATAGCTTAGTTGGCTTTATGGCAGTTCTGTTTGAAGCAGAGGCATTGTTGTGCAGAATCCTTGGAAGCTGTCATGTTGAAATCTGCGTGCTGCATTTGAGCCTTAGAAAGCAATTTTAATCACCCCCCACTTTCTTCCTAATTTTTGAAACAAGAAATATGGACACATACTTTCAGTGATATTTTGGCATACAGATGCTTTTGGAAGCTTTAGAAATCTCAGGATTGTAAATCCCAAACTTTATCTAATTACAGCTTAAATTTCTGATGATTTCTCATTTGGTTTTCAATTGCAAGTTTTGTTTCATATTATTTTTGTATTTGTAGTTTTTTCCATTGCACAGCTTGGGCCAGCTCAGTTTGTTATTTTTGCTGCTTCAGCAAGGTGTTTGGGACTGTACTGGGACAGTTTATTTTATTTGGGGAATACTCTCAACAGTAGAAAGTTTAACGATATCGATGACAACAACAGGGCAGAAAATGTGTTAGATGAGGCTTTAGATAACATGAGAGAAAAGCAAGCATGTGATTTACCTTTTCTGCCAAGGACAATACCGTAGAAGCCTGAATTATGGCCACTTGTTCTTCATTCCTTAAATTCTGTGAAGAGAATAACAGCAAAGAGGAAAATTGGCAGCAGTTTCCTTCATGAACAAAGACAATCCAGCCTACAAACCAGCTCTACAGTTTTCAGAGGATAGCTGTAGTACTGAGTATTCAGTTTCCATTGAAACATTCAGAGTCTGTTCACATATTATATTAAGAAGACCACTAGTTTTGCCTTTCTACATGATATGGATTAATTGTATCATTCATTCCGTTACACCTTAAGAGAAATGTAAACTAAAATTAGACCCATTTGTTTGTCTTCATGCTAGTTTTACAAAGCTGAATTTCCATTAAAGCTTTTGTAAAAATAGTGCTGATCTACATCAGCATATGAATAGACAATAATGATCTTTTGTTTTTATTTCTTATAAACTTTTTTAAGACGTATCTAATGCTGGCCAGAGATACAGCATCTCTTTTACATGGGCAGCTATGCCCTCTTAGAAAGCCACAGGAATTTGATAATTCTTGCCTATTTGTGAAACTGTAAGAAAGAATCCTAGTCCTGATGAAGAGTGGTTTACTCAGACTGCTGAATTCCTTCATGTGTTTTCCTGAGTGAACAGGGCCCAGTCCCAAATATTAGTAGTCTTTGGACATTCTTCCCAGTCTGTTAAACCGTACAGAACAGATGCAAAATTTAACAAGTATCTTTGAAAATAGTCATAACTATACATAAAACTTACTGCACTGTACAAAATGCAGCTTGTAAAGACAAAATATCTCCCATTTAACTTACCCCATTATCACCTAGGATGTCTAACTGCTTTATAAGGTCTGGGATGCTGACATCCTGCAAAGAGAGAGTAAGGTAAAGGCATGGCATCCACCTTTTATCATGGCTGTAATATCCATCTATCCTATGAACAACATGGAAGTCAGCCATTTTGTTTTATCCTATGGAAATGCATCATACATTGATTTCAATTCCTTTGAACCAGATTTTATCATTATGGAGAGAATTTTGAGTCTAATTGAACTGTGTCTGTCACCACACTCTTACATTAGACCATTTTTAAATACCTAAAGTCTAGTGGAGTTATTTGTAATGGATTATATGGGCAGCACCCACCACTCCTCCCACTTCTCCTTAGGGAGAAGCACTCCTTTATACAACTGACCTACCTTAACCCCTTCCTTCATGCAGTAGATCTGTAGAGCACTCACACCATCTGAGAATGGGTGAATCTGGAGATTAAATGGTGGGGACCGTCTCTCTCTTTCCTGCAAATTAATTGAAAAGATGCTAGAGAATCTATTAGAATGAAGGAGATGCACATAGAGAATGCCATAGCTGCTGCTTCTATCATGCTTGGCTTGCAAAGCCAAGTTCTTCATTCTATAAGCCAAGGAAAGAATCATGTAGACCTAGTCTGAAAAAGTGAGCCAAGTCGGACAGGATCCTAAATCCAACGTGACTACTAAACAGGAAATTATTTGATAAATTATGCCAATTTGCAAACTGGCTGTGGAAAGGCTGTCACCTAGCTAAGATTCATAAGATTCAAGTGATTTGCTTTATTAAGTGTTGAACAACTGTACATGATTGTAAGTACTCCCTTTAGAAACAGGTGTTTGACTTCAGATATTGGGGGACTCAGATTACATATTTTCCTCATCCTGGTATGCTACACATTCTAACATCTGTGGAAAACCATGTGTTCAAAAAAACTGATCGACATAGCTATTTATAGACCTTTATTGCTTAAAATTTACAAATATTTGTGCAGTTTTAAAGGACCAAAGACAAGAAAAAAAACTGAAGATGCTATTTCTCATTCCTTTCAGGTATTCAGGCAAGCATGGAAGTAAAGATTAGACTTTACTTTCACACATATTTTTGCTTTATGAATACATAATTCATTTGATCAGTTCAGCTCCCTGCCATATGGAAACACAGCCATCAGGTAAAACTGTAGGACAGTTCTATGAATAAGGGGCAAGTCTGACACAGCATTAAGTTATGAGAACCAGGAAGGTCTCTGTGTGGCAAATGTATTTGCCCTTGGACAGCAACTGAAAAGAACAAATAAAAAATAAACCATCTTACACTGGGGAAGAGAGCAGGTGAAATTTTGGTTGGCAGGCACTCCAAAGAAGAGTCTGGAACTAGAGGCAGTCTGGGAAGAGGAAGCTTGAGGTCCTGCAGAGGCTGCTAAAGCTCCTGCACCAATGGCCAGTGTCACCTGAGAGACTGTTTGCACCCACTGCAGGTCATGGAAGAGCTGCTCAACAGGGAATGTGTCCAGTGCCCGCAAAAGGAACAGCACTCATACATGGGCAGACAGGCATCTCCAAGTATTAGAAAAATCATGCCCACAGGTGAGGCAGCTAAGAGGCACACTCATGTTAATCAGTTAAGCATACCTTTGCACACTGGACACCTGGCTCAGGCTAAAGTGAACCAGCTGAGTATGGTGCTTACTATTTCCAGGATACTAGAGCTGACATACTTCAGCTCACAATTAAAAATGCTAGGCCTGAACTGTTACTCTGTTTTATTGCTACAACACTTGTGTAAATCCTTGATTAAAGCCGGTGTCCATGCAAGTGCAGTCATTTAATTTGCTACCAGCTCTCCTGTAAGAAGCACATGCATCACCTCCAGCTCAAGGTTGCGGAACTCCAGCAGCTCATTCTGGTCTCGCGCGTCCTGCAGCTCCTGTTGCAGACGGTTGTTTTCTGCTTCCGTTTTCTCTATCTAACAGAAATATGTAAAATCATGACCTGTGTGACTGTTTCAAGAACCATAAAATATTTGGTGAGTAGTAGTTGAGGTAGCATAGCCTGTGCAAGATCTAAACACTTAAGATGTCTCACAGGATCCAGATAACCCTTCAGAGTGAACATGCAAACCTTTGGAACATACCTTGTCTAAAAGCTCTTGGTTCCTCTTAATAAAAAGCTGCTTGTCTTCCACCCAGTGTGAGTCCTGTTGAATGAAGTAGTAGTATTACAGAATAGTCAAATTCCATAAGCTGTGCACATTTATTGAACATTGGAGCCACAATATTCAGGCTTTAACATCCTACAGGAACAAGCTGTCTTTTACAGAACAACAACATTTTAAATTTACCAAGATGTAGCAAGGCTTCTGAACTTGCCAGATCTGCATGTTTACTGACTGGCAACATTACATCTCATGGAAGTTTATACTGAAGTTGTGCTTGGTATTTTGTAAGCAGAGCAGGTAAGATACGGAATAGGGGAAAAAACACACAAGAATTACTTACCTGCCCTTTCTGAGCCAAAGTTTTCTCCAGATCTTCTATTTTGGCTTTATACCTCTGGACTTCAGCTTGAAGTTGCTCCTGAGCCTGTTGAAGTCAAGCACCACATTAATGAGTAACAAAACCAGCAATGTGGCTCCTGCCAAAACCAGCAGAGCCTAGCTTCATGCTGTCAGTTCCACTGAGTGAGCAACCATTAGAAAGATTCTGACTTGGTGAAGTTTTGTGCCACCCCTTAGACTGACACACAGATGACACAAGAGAACAGAGCAGTGGATCAGCCCCAACTCCCCACCCAAGCCTGTTCCACCATGGATTGCACTGGAGCAGCAAAACACAAGCTCAGGTATTTGGGGTGCTCTGCTCCAAGACCCTCATAAGGGGCAATCCCTAAATTACAAAAAAAGTGCTTAGCAGATCAGAGTGGCAACAGGTAGTGGGAAGAGGCAAATTTAACTGCCAGGCGGTTCTTCAAGAGCTGACTCAACTAAATACTAAAAAAACTGGTATGATCTCACAGCTAACTGCTTTGAGCAAGAATTTGGACTGGAGACTGCCTGAGGTTCCTTCAAGCCTGAATGATTCTATAATTTTATTAGAGGGACAACATTTTTAGCCTTGGAAGTTTTACTGTATCCTGCATCATATTAAAATTTAAATGTAATTTGCAAATTTGTAATTACAAATTTGTTAGAATTTGTAATTCTAACTTATCTGTTAGAAACATTCAGGTGTTCCTAAAGTTGGTGCAATGTGCGCCTTTGTGAAAACCCACAGGCCTTCATTTGCCTTTAAAACCCAACTCCCATCACACCTAGACAAATGATGAGAAAACCCTTGTGATTCTGTGTCAGGTTGCAGAGTTGTCTGCTTTGGCATGCCTGCCTGACTGCAGTTTTCAGGTTCAGGTGGAGGACAGCTTCCTGTAAACTGAGTGATTGTGTCCATTCTTAATGGTCACTCTCTTTCAAAATGTACTCAGTAAATGAGTGAACAGACATTTCTCAGTGTTATGGATGCTGTATGTAGCACCATTCCATTGCATGTCCCTTTGAGGGTTTCTTGTTCTGACAGCAATGAAATACTGTAACTCTCAAACAAATACTGACCCTGGCTTCTCTTTCAGCATCTATGACCCCTCCTGCCTGTTCCTGCAGCAGTGCATACGCTCTCTGCAGGGCCTGGTACTCCTTCGTCAGCTGTCGAAACCGCAGCTCTGACTCTTCTGCTGCTAAACCCTGAAGAATAAGAAGGGACATGTCTAAGCCATGGAGAGCAAAGCACTGTCAAAGCAAAGAATACAAAATTTGTTAAGCACAGTAGCTGCTTTACAGGTCTTGATTCAAATAGTGGTCTGGATCACAGTCAGCTTGCTGTGATCTGAAATTAAAAAATGGGGAGATTATACAGCATTTATATCACAGTATCAGCTGAGTTGGAAGGGACCTACGAGAATCACTGAGTTCAACTCCTGGCCCTGCAAAGCACCATCGCCAAGAGTCACTGAGAGAGTTGTCTAAACACTTCTTGAACTCTGTCAAGCTTGGTGCTGTGACCCCTTCCCTGGGGTCATTCCAATGCCCAGTCATGCTCTGGGTGAAGAACCTTTTTCTAATATCCAACCCAAACCTCCTCTGACACAACTTCAGGCCATTCCCTCAGGCCCTGTCACTGGTCACCACAGAGAAGACATCAGTGTCTGTCCCTCCTCCTCCCCTCATGAGGAAGCTGGAGACTGCAATGAGGTCTCCCCTTAGTCTCTTCTCCAGGCTGAATACACCAGGTGACCTCAGTTGCTCCTCATACAGCTTCCCCCCAAAGCCCTTCATCATCCTTGTTGCTCTCCTTTGAACATTCTCTAGCAATTTAATATTTTTCTTATATTACGGCACCCAAAACTGCACACAATAGTCAAGGTGAGACCACCACAGAGCAGAGCAGAACAAGAGGACAATCCCCTCCCTTGACTGACTGGCAATGCTGGGCCTGATGCCCCCAGGACTTGGGTGGGCCCTCTGGCTGCCAGGCCGCTGCTGACTCATATTCAACTTTCTGTCAGCCCCTGGGTCTCTTTCAAGGCACTGCTTTCCAGCATCTCATTCTCCAGTCCATCTGCAGATCCAGGGTTACCCCATCCCAGGTGCAGAATTTGGCACTTTCCCTTGCTGAACTTCATCTGGTTGGTGATGGCCCAGCCCTCTTGATTCATCGACGTCTCTCTGCAGGGCCTCCCGGCCTTTGATGGAGTCAACAGCTCCTCCCTATTTTGTATCATTGCAGAACTTGCTCAATATCCCTTCCAGTCCTGTGTCCAAGTAATTTATGATGAAATTGGAGAGCACAGGGCTTAAGATGGAGCCCTGCAAAACCCCACTAGTGACAGGTCACCAGTATGATGTCATCCCATTCACTATAACTAGTTGATATGTCTTTAAGCTACAAGAAATGTGATACGTTTCCTTGAAAAAGGAGAGGAAAAAAAACCACCTCAAATTGCAGGGTAGTCATATCAAAGACTCTACAGACTATACTGTGGAAGAAACTCTCAGCGTTTTAGCATATGAGTAATCAAAATTAAAGTCAAACTTAAAAAGTATTTATCACTCAGTATGCACTATAAAATCCCAAGTGTTCTTGAGAGCCTGAGAGCTTGTTTTCAAAGTCATCTCTTGAAAACCTGTAACTTGTCTGTGGAAAGAGTCAGATCTTACCTCATCCAGATCATCATCTGGGGTTGCTGGTGTCCTGTCTGTTCTATATGAGGCCACAGAGGATGTTTCAGAGTCCATAGAATCATCATCATACCCAAAAACCGTATCCACCACATGTCTCTATAGAAGGAAAAGTGTGATTTCTGAACCTTCATGTAAACAGAGGGGGCAGTTACTAGTTACTTAAAAGATGAGGTGTGAAAAGTGAACAGTGGGCTACCCCTGCAATTACCATCTTCACACAAACTCAAAGGAAACCCATTGAAGATCAGGTCTTGTGCTGGTGGAGAATAAGTTTGCAGACTAATTTTTCTAAGGGTCTGTCTCAGTCTATTTGGAAAATCTAATGTGAGCAGCAACATGCCAGAGGAAAAGTCTCTGCCCTTCCTTGCTGGAAGGCAGCAAAATTGTTTGCAAACCAAGAAGTTCTTCAGAAGACATCTACCAACATGCAAAGCGTAGTGTAGTGTGCAAAGGTTACACCACAAGGGCTAGAAACACGTGTAGAATAGGCAGCCCTCCTTCTTCTCTCACAGACACTGCTGATACTTTTAATGTCCAGGTGCTTCGCTTGCTGATATTGCTGTTGGATCATATGAGTGAAAGCTATGCTAATACAAAACTAACATGAAGGAACTTTTATTGCATCTTTCCAGGACTACAGTAACTGGCACCCATTATAAACAATTGCTCATGCTCCACAGTTTGGCTGTATGTCTGACACCTCCCTATTGCCAATTTCGTAGCTGAATTAAATCAAATGAAAACTGTGAGATGTGTCCTGTGAAGACACTGATGCTTGACCCTGAAGGCTTGGTTTCAGGGTACCAATTTGAGTATTTAAATACTCGGCTCATGGATAATTCTGAAGACAAACTGATCAATGAGCAATTAAGATGCACTTCTTCTTAGCAACATCTTTCACTCTGCTGACAGGTTAAAACCTTCCAAACCTGGAGTTTGAATCACACAAAAAACATGTACCAAAGATGTCAATTAGCTTTTGCATGTATTGTAATTTTTGCTCATTGTGTTGTCAAGTGAAAACAGTTGCCATATTCTCCAATGTTATAATCTCTGGTTTAGAAATAAAATTTACTGATGAAAATACTCTTTGGTCCTTGCTGTGTCTGCTGTACACCATTTTGCAACCCACACAGAAACAATGTGATGACACAGCTAGATTTACTGGTCTGAAATTCCCAGTGTAGATAATGCTGTGTGACTTTCAAAGAACATGGGTGACATACTAAGGGATGTCCTTGGAGGACTGAATGCAACCAAGGAACCCATATTTCCACTTTTTGGAGGTGGGACATGACTGCTGCAAAGTCATGCTTCACATCTAGCTGATAAAGGAGCTATGCGAACCACTCCTGACTACTCAGCTCTAAAATTGTTGTAAATTATACCAGCTTTGGACTTAACATAATTCAGAGTGATACAAAGGTTAGTCAAAGGCATGTAGAACTGAGCAGGAGAGAATGACACAATATCTCAGGCAGAAATTTCCACCTGAAGAATAGAGACGCATAAGGATTTGGCTTTAGCCCATATGTGCTGTGAAAAATAGATTGCAAGAAAAAAAATGAGAAGGTCTCTGATAATGCTAGTACCTCTCAGCATAACAGACCCTGAGACCATACTTATAGATACCAAACCATTATAGATACCATAGGACCATTATTACTACTGAGTGGGGGGGGCAGGCGTGGGAAGGACAACGGATGGGACAGGAGCCCCATTTTGCTGAAAATAAAATAGCTGCACGCCCTTAACAGAATTTCAAAGTGGATTTTAAAAGCCCTCTCAAAGTAACTAAGGAATTTATAAACCTGATCACTAAAGCAGATGTTATAATCCACAAAGCTCTGTTTAATCAGATTGCTAAAGTGTGTTTTCCTACACAGCCTACTTGAATACTGTAAATAAGGAACGATTTTTCATCTTACCTTGATTGGTTTTGAGCTCCTTTTATGCTTTCTCCGACGAATGAGTTTCTCCCTGTCCTAGAAAGTAAGATTAAAAAGTTACTCTCTCTTCTCTTCTTTAAAGCTGACAGATGGCCAAATACATGGAGGAAATAAATAATAAAAGTTCCAGTGACTCTGTCCATATGTTCAAACAGGAATCTGATTACAGGTAGAAGGGAGGATTCATATCCAAATCTGTATATGTGTGTCACCTAAAATCCACCTGAAAAACACCTTTGTGCATTTGCCTTGAGCAGCTGTCAAACAATAGGAGCTCAGGGATTGCCCTCTAAAATCACTGGGACGCCTGGTGCATGGTTTTGGGCACTGTATAAGGGGCTGTCTGCCTTCCATGATGAGGAGATGCTGCCCCTGTCTCAAAGGCATTAAATGATGGGAGTGTCGATCTCACCATTCCTAGCAATGATACCTTGGAAGAGACAACAGCCTGTTTTGGAATCGTTCCCCTTCTCCTCAGTATCATAATGCAAAGTTCACTGGCAAAGGAATTGTCAGCATTAAATGACAGAAGAATTGGAAACCTACTGTCTAGCTGTACAAGCTTTTCCAGCACATGATACAGCACTGTGGGCCGGCCTCCTGTTAAGGGAACTTTTTAAGCACGACTTAGTTATAATGGTAAAACACCTCAGCACAGTCCTGCCTTGTGAACATGTAGGTACCTACCCAAGCTCCACAGCTCTTAGTCTGCATTCCTTTCTGGAGCTCAATTCACAGTGTTATGGTTTGAGTTGCAGGGGTTGATGCTCCACTACAAATTCAGTAAACTGCACACATGCACACCTACACCTAAACATCTGAGGATGTTAAAAGCAGGTAAGGTATTAATGCTCAGACCTCTAGTTATAAGAAAAAATACTATCAGCAATAAACTGTACACAGCAATCATTCCTAATTTCCTTGTGCTCTGGACATACCCTTGTTAACTCATCAATTATGTTCTGCTGTTCTATGACCTGAAGCTTTAAAAATTCAGTTTCTTGTTCCTCATTAGCCTGATCCAGGTCATTGAGAGATCTTAATTTCTTTAGAGGAGGATGTGATGTTATTTTTTCTCTCTGTGGTAAGAAGAAAAGATAAAAGAGATAAAATAAGATCCAGCAATTAAAAGACCACCTTTCAGTTGAAAACTAAACATCACCTTTCATTTAAGCTATACAGACCTTTAAATATGCTTCAGCTAAACCAATTTTTTTATTCACGTCCATCAGCACTTCTTAACAATAAAATAACACAGCACGGCTGAGTTCTTCAACCAGAACAATAAAGCTTTAGCTGTTTAGTTACCATGTGGCAATACAGCCTCTACATACCCTAGCTCTTCCTTGGCCACGTGTGGCAAATAGAGTTGAAGCTGTCCAGTGAGTAGGCAGATAGTATCTACTCTCACGACCTTACTGACATTCAATGTAGGACCGTACACAGTGAGGCAATGGACCTGCTTTACTCATGTTAAAGACATGCATTCAGTCACACCAGGAGGAAAGGCAAAAACTGTGATAACAGATCTATTTTAATCACAGCTCAATATCCTGCCTGCTCCTGAGCATATGTGGGAAAGGAGATGACTAAAACCTGTGAGAATTGCTCTAGCCACCAACAGCTTTTGTGATTTGGGCATCCATAGTGTGAAGAGCAGATGTCAGGGAGCTAACTGAGCACATATACACTGTGTCCACAGATATGCACCAGTGGTACTGCCCACTGATGCCTAATGCATGCAGATTCCCAAGTCCTTTCTCTCTGCTGTGGGAGACTCCAAGCGACTGTGGTCTGCACTGCCACAGCTGTGGAAGAATAATTCTGATCCATGATACCTGCAACAAGTTTATCTGTCTTCTAGGCACGGGTAAATTGCATAGTCCTTAAGTGGATTAACTGTGTAACACTAGAGTCTGTTTTCCGTGGGACAGGAAAGTGAATCTGATCAGCTCCACCTAATCAGCAGGAAAGCTGCTCCCATTGCAGGGCACTTAGCCTGCTCAGGACAGTGGCTACTACAGGTCAGGGCAAGGTCCATGAACACCTTTAGCAAGGGAAGTCGTCTCAGTCTGCCAGCTTACATCTGGCAACCCAGAACATCCACCTCCTTTTTCATTAATGCCAAAGCCACATCAGTGCATGTGCTGGAATACAGGGCCTGGAAGCAGACTGATAATCAAGGCAATCCCATCTGAAGGATATACAAACACAACTGTTTTGACCCCACTTCATATGGCCCTGACATAGGAAATGTATAGCCCTAACTAAATTTAAACACCACCATTCTTCCTTTCCCATATCCACCTACCACGCATATGTTTTATGGAAAGATTCTATGTGCTTAGTGCCATACCTTAAGTTTACTTTGTCATCATCAGCTCTAAAAGGAATGTGTACGTGACTCAAGAACGTCATTCTGGCTGAAAACATCACTCTTAACAGCTTCCTTTTTGAGTTCCAGATAAAAAATAGCACAGTAGGACATGCCTCAATGATATAACATTTTCCTCTTTCATTTTTTTTAAATGATTGACATTCAATATTCTAACTTTAAAAATATAATTAACTGTGATTATACATTTATGTAAATATATTGCCCATGTATGCATAATACACAATGTTATGCTATGCAAATCTGTAATAATACAGACCAAAACATGGCTCTATCTTAACAATAGTATTACACATTATATATAATGCATATTCTCTATTCATATATATCATGCATTATGCAGATGTGGCCAACAACACACAGATCCTCCAGTAATACTCATTTTGCTCTTCAGTACCAACCATTTCTATATTTTCTTTAGTGACTGCTTTGAGTTTATCTTCCATGCGCTGCAAAGACTGCATCAGTTCATCATTTCTCTTCGTGAGGCACTTGTTCTTTTCCAGAAGAGGTTTACATTGTTTCTCAGCTTCTCGAACACGCTTCAACTGGATTGATAATAGCAATTAATAATTGCCATGAGAGACACATAAATATACGTTTAATTTGCAATCTTGACATCTATTTTGCAATTATGACATAAAGAACATTGAAGCTGGCTAAACTGATATGAAAGGTATGCATTAAGACTTGTAGCTCAGGAATAAAAAAACCCATAGGAGTTCAATTTATCACCCTCATCCTTAAGCAGAGAAGTAGGAATATACACAGGTTAAATAGCCAGGGTCCTGATTCAACACACAGATATCACCACAGAGTAGGCAATCAGATAAAGGGATCAATTCAAAGTTCCCAATTCTTCCTAGTTCCCAATTCAGTACTTCATTATTTTCAACCTGGTCAAATACTGGACTACAGACCTAACAGACATTATTTCATTTACAAGGTAAGTCTCATCGTGTACAAGGTAAGTTACCAAGCACATGTTGTGTGCTCAGAGGGAAGAAAAGCATTCACACAGAATCCTACAAGCCCTGCTGCCTCAACCTCTGCTGTGATTTTGTACTCACGTAATTTCAATTACGTTTTATTGTTACATTACTGATTTATTCTAGGATAAAAAGTCCCCCTCAGCCTCCTGAGTGACGGGCCTGATGGATGGACAAGGTATGTTCATCACCAGCTTCATCCTTGGATCCTCGCCCTCTTTCCCTTCCCCATGGCTCTCAACCTCCTCTGTCTGCCAGCGCAAAAGCTCACATACCAGCTCATTTCGTTCATCAACAAGCAACGTGTTCCGGTCTTCCAGCTTCCGTATGGTGGCATTCAGCTCTGCTATCCTCTTCTGGTTTCTGCGCAAGTCCTGTGCATGGGCAACAATGTCACACAGCTACTGATTCTCTTCAAAATACATGCTTGGGAAAAGAACCCTTAAAAAAAGCAGTCAACCTAAGCTGTCACCAACAACAAATTATCTTTAGGGACTTTCACAGTCCTGAACATGTTGGCAAATATATATATATATTTAGGAGAAAGCATCTGGTTTGGGGATACTTTAATTGAAAATTTTAAGCCATTAAAAAAATTAAGAAAAAACAAACAGATGATAAATTTGTATGACAGAGATAAAAAAGCTAAAAGACTCTAAATTTCCTTCCCTTTTCCTATAGATTGCTTCTATTAGCTGAACCACTACCTCAGGTGAAAAAGCTAGGACAACCCTTTCTGTATCAATTACATTCACTTTCTTAGTTCTCATTTGTATATATGAAAATATGCTTTTAAATATGCATTGGTTGTGTAAACATCTTCTGTTTAGTGACACAACGGGTGACTTGTGTGCTTTGTGAATGACACCCAAGGGCTGTCTGTGGTGAGGAGGATCTCCTAAGGGTCTCACAGATTCTCCACACCCAGCGTTTTCCTTGCCCCTCCCTGCTCATCCTGGTAATTCTATATGGTTTTGAGGATGCACGTTCTAGGTAGTTAGGTTCATCGATGATTCTTTCAAAAGGGCACTGATTATTTAGGATGTGTTATATTTGTGACTAGAACATCTGATGAAAACCAGCAGTACAAAGTTTTGTCCAATTAGCATGCCCTCTGAAGACTCTATGGACATTAACTTGTCTGTAATGAATGACTGGGAATGTTTTCCTAGGGCCTGAGAAGTATGCCAGAAAGAAACACACATCCATGCTACTGTTTTGCAGAGACCAGTAAAACCTGCATACAGGGCTGCTGCAGTGCTCCGAACCATCTCCAGCCCTTCCTGGGATCTCTCTCTTGGGACTGCTCATGTTACACTCTGCCTCCTTCACCAAAAAGAGCTGTTCATCCAGAGCTTCCTTTTGCAGCTGCAGCTTCTGCACATAGCCTGTCTGTGTCTCCAGTTCTTTCTCCAATGAAAATATGATCCTGTCTTTAGCCTTGATCTCATCCATCTGAATGAAAGAAACACCAGAACAATATTACCATGTGAAGGCAACAACATTTCTCCAATTTGTATTGTGTGATTTACTTAAGAGCAGTGATCACCCCTCAAATCTGCTCTACCATACTGCACCAGGCCTGTTAAACAACACAGTCTGAGCCATACCCATAATTTGGCACAGGAGCACATTCATTGAGCATTTTGGCAACACAAGAATATACCTCTAGGATGCAGATGTGAATCTGGGGAGGGCGGGGAAGGTGGTGGTATCATTCTTGAGAGTTTAAATTCCCATTTATTTTACTTAAATTCTAAATTCTTGAATTCCAATTTTCAAGCTCAACTTTCTACCATTACAAGTAGGACCAGCTCTCCACATGACAGTGTGTCCTGGTTCTGGCCAGGACAAGGTTAATTTTTGCAATAGCCAGAGGTTATTCTATATCATCTCATGTCGTTTTCTGGGGATGGGGGAAGGACTCCCTTCTGGGTGATGGTAGCATGGCTGTGGTCAGGTCACAGGCTCCACGGTGACCATTTTGCACCTAAGTCACTCTCCTCTCTCATGTGCATATTTCATTGCTGTTTCCAGTCAAGTGCTCTTACTTCAATTCATGATCTCATCTTTACCTTTTGTGCCTCCGATTCCCCTTTCTAGCCCACTGCAGGGAATGGGGAGTGAGCAAGTGTCAGTATGGTTTGGAAAGTCAATGTGGGAGCACAAATTGGGAAGTTTCTAAACCACGACACAGGGAAACAATTCACCTTTGCTGGTGTGAGCTTCCTTTTGTTAATTTTCCACAGAAATTACTGAAGGCTGCACCAAGGCCAACCCAAAAGATTTCTCCTCTCCTGCCATGTTTTATTGTGTTTAGGACACTATAACACAGGCTGGAAAAAACAAAAAGCTGCAAGTGCAGATGCAAATGCTCTTTATCTAACCCTTTGCACCTTGCATGTATTAACAAATCAGAGAGCCAGATCCTCATGGATTAGACCACACTCCTAATCTGAGCTGTTAACAGCCATAACAGTGTTATTGCTGACTCACTGTGATCTATTTATTCCTGACAAATGACAGTGCAAAATCTGTAAAACTTTTTCAAAGTGATTTGCATTGCAAGAGACCTGTTACGCAGAAAGAGCTAAGAGACAAAAAATGCAAACTCAGTGCGGCCTAAGAGAACACATGAACTGTTTTGATTACTAACCAGGCGTCGAATATCCCTTTCACTCTCCCATTTGATCTTGGAAATGGCCTCTTGGTGGGACTGATGCTCACTCCGAAGATCACCTGCCTTGATCTTGTCAGCCTGGATCATATTGTTAAGGGCCTCATCCACCTGCTTTTTGGCAGACTTCAGTTCAGTAATTTCCTGCAGAAGCTTCAGGCGCTCAGAGTCAAACTGTTTCCTGGCCTCCTCACGAGCCTCAATGGTCAGCGCAGTCCGTACTTTATCACTGCTCCCATCCCGCAGCGCGCACAGCGCCGACTTCAGGCGCTGGATTTCACTGTCTCGGACTTTCACCATTCTCGTCATCTCCTGCTCGTGCTGTTTGATGAGGTTCTCCCTCACCGCCTGCAGCTCCTTCATTTTCTCTTCATGGAGTTTGGCTTTTAGCTCTGTGATCTGCACGGTCTGCTTGCGTTGCTCCACTTCACGGATGCGCTTCGTTTCTTGAGTCTTTTCTCTTTCGAGCTTAGCAACCTACATTAAGATAAAATGAAAGTCATCTGCTGCCAATGTAACATTATCAAAACAAGCCCACCCAGACACATCCATGTCAAATTGAGAAAAAACCCCACTGAGACCCTAGACAATCCTCCATACTCCTAAAACAAAATATAGGCCAGCTCCTGAGGTATTCACATAGATTATATTGTCTTTACTCAAACAAAAACCTCTCTCTTCTCCAGGTGTCCTGCCTCACACAATGATGCTACATGTAGTTGTAATATTTCCTTCAGAAATAAGACTCCATATATATGTGTGCATTTGTGCAAAAGCTTTTTAACCCAGAAGTCAAATTCACCAGATAATTGGAGGGCTCAGAAAAAGCAAAATTCCTACAACTTTCACATACTGCTCCATTTGAGGGCCAGAGGTTTCTCCAACTCGTAGCTCAAAAAAATGGAGTCTTTTCCAGAGAAGTCATAGGACATCCATAGTAAATGTTCTAAGATGGGAAAGAATCAGACCACTTTTTTTAGGAAAGAGTTGTGTGGCCTCTGCTGAAGTCTGTGCTACTATTTTTTCCACCTGTTTGCCTTCTTCAGCAGACACTTTTATTTAAAACTGAACTGTCACTCACCTTAGATTTCTCCTGATGCAGCTCAATTTGAATGTCTGTTAGCTTGGTCCTGAGGTCCTCATTGGCAGCCTGTAGGGCAACAATCAGTGCCTCAGGCTTTTCGCCCTTGCTCCGTCCTTTTTTTGACATGGTTTTTTATCAGAGTCCACACGTTTATTTCAAATATGGATTGCCATCTTCTTCTGTTCCTTTCAGTGTCAGTTAGGTCAGCAACTACTGCGTGACATTCCTTAAGGTCCTTGACTCAGCTGCTTTGGAAGCCCTGTTAAGAAATAAGACATACTGTTATCTGTCAGCGGATGCTGCATCTGGACAGCTCACATGCTTAGAGAACACAACAGAGAGCTCCCATATCCAAAACACTGCAATCTTTGCCTGAAAACCTACAAGGCAGATCCCAGCACAGTCATGCTTCTGAACACCAGCCTGCCACGCTTTTGGGAATTCCATGCTTGCCCTTTTCTGTTCTCAGAAAGGGGCACCATGCATTGAAGAGAGGTGTTCATTTACCATAAAGATTGTGCTACTGAGAGCACGAGACTGGAAGGGACGGGTTATTTACTCCAATCCTTGCAGTCTGAGGTAACCACAAACCAGATGCTTTAATCTCAAGAATCTACCAACAATATCATTCTCTTCCCCTTCCCAACCCCTGATCCTGTTCAAGATCCTGTGCCAAACTCAAAGACTCTCCACAACACTGCTACCATGTGTCACAAGAGGAATAGGCAAGTGAAGTCCTCAATCAGCATTCCAGGTCTCTGTGGAAGCAGAAATCTAATAACATGCAAGGGCCTGTTTACACTAGAAATTGTCCCCATGGAGTGAGAAATGAATGCCTACGCCTTTTGGAGGATTAAGATCCTACTTTACAAATGAAGCAAGAAATGACAATATCACACTGTAGTCTAGCAATTGAGGTTTTAACATCTGGTTATGAACAGTAAAAAATAAAATTCTGGACAAACATCATCATTATCCCTGTATTAATTTTAATTTTATAGTGTTATTATTCCCATTTGTGGCCCCTAGCTGAAATAACATTTGGAGATGTGGTATATCAGTTTGGAGATGGGCAAAGCACTGAAACATTAAGACTGCAAAGAATAGGACAGAGCACAGTGTAGTAGTGGTAGTGATGAAATTTCCCAGCAATAATAATTATTGCTCCAGTGCTAGATTCCAGGCAAGCTCTCCTCCCTTACTGTCAGGTTGCACATTAATTTTTTATATTTTATTTGCTTTGGGTACAAAACATAAATAGAGTTATCATTTCGCATGTTAAAACAGAAGAGACCTCCAAATATGAAAGACTGTTTAACTCAACAAAAACTTGCACACATCAGTTATAATTTTCTGCTTTCTGAGGGCAAGAGCAGATAGAAACCCTAACTCATACATGTGCTCCTCCCAACATCTTGCTCTCAGACACTTGGTTCTGCTCAAAGAGTGGCTCCACTGTGAAGAGAATTTACCTATGTGAACAAGCAAAACCTCCGATCTAAACTTGTTTTTCTCTGAGCCCAGAGCCAGCATTTCAGCTCTTGCCAAGACAACAATTAACATGCTAATTTGGACCCCACTGATCCAACTCTCCATCAGAAAAAGGGAGCTGTGATTCAGGTTAGGTAACTCTAACATGAGGGGATGCTCCAAATCACAACTGCGGATCCAAGCACCCTGGCTCTAGATCCCAATCCTCACTCTAGAATCAGAACTTCAGAATGTGGCAAGCATGATGAGAGTATTATGAGAAGCTTTTTCATCCTTGGCAAATTCTCATGACCTTTCTGAGCTTCACCATCTCTGCCAACAATCTGCAACAATTCTGAGAGAGGCATTTTCTATTCCCGCAGAATGGTGAAAATCCCTTGGAACTAGAGGAGGAGTTAAAATGCTTACCTGCTGGAAATTCCAGTAGCCAGACTGGATTCAGCTTGTTGATTGATCTGGCCTCAGGCAATACTCTAAGGAAATAGTATTTCAACATAAGCTAAATCCCATTACTGCAACAATGGGAATACACAACTCCCTGTGCCTCCAAAATCTGTCTCATTTGCCTAGTGGGATTTGAATGAATTCTAAATTAAGTCTTTGCTTTGGATTTTATTTACCAGGTTTCATCTATGTTTTGCATTTTTTCAGAATAAAATTCAACCCCTAATTATTGCATACTATTCTGTGTGTGTTACGACACATAACAAAATACATAATAAATGACAACTGTGATTAAAAGCATGAGTTACATTATTTTAGTATTTTATCAAAATTCAACATGTCAACATCAACCCAAAAACTCAGCTCAGACTTGACAAACAGCTCTTCAGGACAAATCCTAACCACCCTCTGATTTTGACTGCACAAAAATCACTGTATTTTAGTTAGATTTCTAATCGATACCATAATAGTTTTCAGGAATATTAAAATACCTTCTGAACTGAGCTCACAATAACCCTTGGATATGAGGCTCTACACAAGGAATACGCGATGAATCTGGTGCTGCTAGGCTGCTCATGCTAAAATTACCATTGGCCCTTGCTCTAAAACATGAACCAAAAAAGCCCTATCCAAGCTGATGACTCCATGGAAACAGTAAAAAGGGTACAGAAGCATTATTGTTACCCACAGCAAAGCTAAGCAGATTTGTTAAAACAATATTCTAGTATTTTGTGGCTAAAATACCATCTGTCTCTTTCTCACACAGTTATTTTCCTAGAAGTTGGCATAACACAATGCACACAGAGAACACTAACAGTGATGAAGAAAATCCTGCCCTATCCTAAAAGCAAGTGGACATTTTTCAGAATCAGTACTTTTCGGCATAAGATGCAAATGCATACTGACTGGAGGCTCTACTTAAGAATGGCAGGATTGTCAGAACAAGGACAAGCTCTAACAACCTGCTCCGTTCACTACAAGATGGGGGCCTAACAAAACATTTTGGTGGTTTTGTACTTTGTGCATTATCTTATGCAAGTGGATCACATTCAACCAACAGACAACATGCACCACCTAGAAGAGAAACACTGCAGTTCATGGAGTTCATTGTATCAGCCTCTCCTTGATTCGATTTTAACAGCCCAACAAAACACTGTTTTATTTAATTGAAATGCATATAAACAAGAAAACAATAGAGGGAAAGCCCATGCCCCAGGTCCTTCTCCTGAAATCCCTTCCTTTTCCTTCTAAGGCTATATGAATGATCATGTCTTGGCTTACAGACACCAGAGGAAGGTATCTTACATTCACTACTAAAAATTGTCAGATATTTAATTTCTCTACTTAAAGGAATAAGGTTAATTTTGGAAGTTTTTGCCATTTTTACCTCAGGTCTGGATACAGCCGATAAACACAGACATTGGTTTCGCACCAGATTTTTTAAAAAGTCTGTACTCTGGCCTCCCACATTCACTTTTAACAATACAATGATCTCTACAATGAACTGTCTTCTTTGTTTGAATACCTTACTTCCAACTAGATTACTACCTTCTTGCAGTTTCTTATCAACTTGCAGTTCAATATAGCTTAAAAAATGTATTTTCTTCTCCCACTCTATTGCTCTCAATGCCTTAAAGAACCTCATGTACACATTGCTCTAATTTCACATGTCCTGTATCCCTCTTGCCTTTTTCTTCCATTTTCTGTGAAAAGAGTATGGATGTTCCCATTACCAGGGAAGTTCAGCAAAATCAAAACTAGCAGTTTATCTCTTCACATTAACTTTCTAGCAGAAATCTAAACACGTCTTCTAATTAGTCATTTCTATACATCTTTTAGACTCAAAATACCTCTAAAAATAAAAACATTAAAAGCAATAGTTTTTTCTCATTTGCAAATAGTTGTGAATCTTACCCTTCTATCATATGAGGAAAGATATGTTCCTTTGTCATCCCTACAGGCTGTGAACTCTTTAAGAATGGTCGGAAAGAACAGAAATCTTTTCCACCAGTGTCACAGCTCAGCTGACAAAAAAGTACCTGTCATGCTTTGCCTGTTTCCCAACAAAACAAGCCAAATTAAAACATACCATGTAGTACCATACATGCTGACTTAGGTAGCTCTGCTCATAATGGGAAGAACAGAACTTGAAAAATAAACAACTAGAATAAAGTGAAACTCATGTTAAATGTAGAATTTATCCTTACACTTTACTATTTAAAAAGTACCCCTGAAAATTTACAGGATGATATTTAGCTGCTTTATAAATGAAAGCACCAGCTTCCATTTGTATTATGATGACCAGGGCAGCAGCACTCTCCTCCCATATAAGTAGGTGATGAACTGATTTCTCAGCTGGAAAAGGTGTAAGCATGAAACACCACCCACTAGATCCAGCTGAGATGCTGGTCACTAGATCCAGCTGAGATGCATGATGCGACAAAGCACAAAAAAAATTAAGACATTTCAATTATAAGGCATTCAGGAGAACGTGCAGTTTCTCATTAAGGCTGAAACCAGAAAAATATTCTATAGTAATTTCAGAGAGATCTGAATGAGCATTAAGCTATTGTATATAATTTCAAATAAATTTCCAAGGACATTGCTTAAATCCTCATTGAGTTCACCTAACATAGGCTACCATGCTGGTCACAGACACCCACCGCATATTCCAAGGAAACTGCAACATGTAGGTCACGCTGCAGCCCACAAAAATCCGTGACATAATGCAGAAGGGATCTGCAAGCAGCCTTGCTGGACACAGCTGGGGCAGGGATCCAACCACAGCAAAAGCACAGATGTCTGTCAGCTCTCCTGTGTGCCCCTGAAACAGGTACTGGACACACACAAAACTTACAGATTTATGCCTGAAAGCGCTTCCTAATTAATTACAGAGTCTTTCCTTAAGTTATAAGCTACCAAACAGTAACCAGCACAATTATTCTTTCAGATGTAAATAATCCAATCTTTTTCCAGTGCAACAGTCCCCACATACTCTTTGTTTGCCTAAGACTTATTGTAACTGAGCACAATTTCCTGTCAGAGAGGGGACATGAAAAGGGGATATTATTAAGGGCTATATTAAATAAGGCAGATTCTCAAAAAAATTACTGCATCTCATTTTGTTCCTCACCAATGCACAGAGATGGAACAGAGCATCTTACAGAACCCTAAATATTAAGTACAAATAAATACAGGGAAAAAAAACCCAAGGACTTACCTACAAATTACAGAACATAAAACAAAAATCACATTCATGTTCATGAAAATCTAAGTGCATGTTATGTATTAACATCATTACAGGTCTTTTCATAGTTTTTGTAC